CACATCTTTGTCATCTTCCCCACCTTCATCAGTCCTTTAGGAAATACTGAATCACAGAGGTATTCATTGCTGGCACCTTTCATGAGTTCTCTTAACAACAATATAGTACTAGTAGCCTCCCCAAATCCACTCCATGCTGAAAGATAGGTATGACTACTCTGCCACAGTTAAACCAAGACAGGCACCAGACAATTTTGCATGTGACTCAAGGTAAACAAGGCCAAGAGAATACTTTGTACTGGGTCACACAAACACAAGAAAAGAAGTAGGCACAATTAATGGCAACATCACAGCACACCAAGAAACTGGAATCGGGGTCTGGCTGCTCATTTTTATAAATAATGCATGAGTTTGGTCATTGAACCCACAGAGTTTCCTTACATTGCAAGTTCTCTGATTAGGCTTCTTATAATTCTGACAAAAATCAACTCAGAAACAATACATATCAAACTCACATTAATAAGAAATTTTCAAAGTGACTGTTCTTTACTTTTTTAAGAAAGGTATATAACAGGAGTAAGAGGGGTTAGGGATGTGTAAATAAAAAACTCTTCAGCCTTCTACAAGGCTGATCTATTCCATCATGAGCTAAAAGCTTTTCTTCTAGTACCAAGAATCTGCCTGACTGATGTGGTTTCGCTGTGACTGAATCATATTACCACATCAAGCAATTGCTGTGTCTATAGCCAAGTGGTTCTCATAGCCATAGTAAAAAATAAGAAGTTTTTTCTTCATGACAGAAAAGACAACAAAAGACCCCAAAACATCCTACCCTCTAAGCTTCTTCTGCTGTCTCCTTTGTCCAGAGAGCATGTCACTGTAGACCCCTACTCTACAACCTTATGCTCTACTCTTCCCAGTCCCCTACACAATAGGAGGTTTTGCACAAAGAGGTTCCTCAAAATACTCGATAAGCCATATTTCCTCTTTGTCATATTTCCTCTTTGTATCTTAACATGCTTAAAAAGATGATGCACAGTCCTCCCAGAAGAAGCTCCCTTTCTCTGCCACCTCCTCCAACTCCACATTGGGTAAAGAAGAGAAAACATAAAGCATGTATGCTGAGGGCAACTATTTTTGACTGTGAGTGACAGTTAACCGTAGGATGAAATGCAGAGCACCTATATTTAACTGCTGGATTAAATAAACCCATCAAATAAACTGCTAAAATTTTAGTTATATGAGTCATTTTTTTGTTTAAGAACATTTAACTATTCTTGATTACTTGCACTCAAGTACATTCTAGTTAATCCAATGACCAGGAAATGTTTTCTAAATAACCCAAAATACACAAAAATTTAATCAGAATTGAATTCTACAATTACTATAAATACTTAGCACAGTGGGGAATACACAAGTGAACTAAGGACAGCATGCAGTGGAAATAGTATAGGTTTAAAAGTCAGGTGAATTTGGATCCAAATTCTAGTTTGGAGAAGTCACTTACTTATGTTAGTTTTAGTTTTTTCATGTATAAAATGAAGGAAACAGGCTTGTGAGAATTACAGCTAATACAGAAAGCACTACCAACCATAGCACTCAGCCCAAAGTAGGTATAGAATGACTAGTACTTATGATTTTTTTAAGTGAGAGAAAGGGGCCCTCCCTGGTGGTGCACTATGAAGCTATCAGCACTATGAAGCTATCCACAGCCACTGCAGCATGAGTTTGATCCCTAGCTGGCGAGATGTGACTCACATGGTATGGCAGACCAGCCACTGCTCCACTCTATAATGTATTTCAGTACATCTGCCTGTTCTGCTCCCCACTCTGTTGCTGGTGAAATCTCTTAGCCCCTGCACCTCTAGCCTGTACCCCAGTTCATGTATGCATAAATATTTTTAAAAATTATTTTTAAAAATTAAAAAAAAAGTGGAAGAAAGTCTTTATTCTTGAGTAGGGTAGAAAAGACAAATAATTACAACATGTTCATTGGAATTTTATAGGACATAGAAGATTGCAATAATAGTTCCAATTCTACACCTTTTACTGAATCCATACATACCCTTGGACATGCTACTTTACAGCATGTGCTCAGGCATGTGATTCATTTTGTTTTCTGGAATACTGGCCAAACAAACTTGAACATAAGCAGAATTATGAAAAGTATGTGTGGCAAATGGGTTGGCATAGTTTTGCTGTTTCTTAAAAGGGACATGTCCAAGCTAGTCCACTGATTCCAGGAGGAGGATAAGAAACAGCTGAGGCAAAGCAATCTCAGCGAAGTCAGCATACAGCAGCCTACCAGTTGACCTACAGATAAGTGAGCCCAAATGAGACTAGCAGAACTGTCCAATTGCATCCAGTTTTGTCTAACTGAATGGTGAAGACATGGGAGAAATAAATATTTATTGTTACCTGTGAAGTTTTGCAGCTGAATATTACACAGCAATATGTTGTCTTTAAAAACAATAGATTTCTACTTCTTGATACTTGTGTCTAAATGGAAGGCATGGTTAGTTCTTCCAAGTCAAGAGACCATTCCTACTCAATCCAATATGGAATTTAATTCAACTCATTAAACTTAAAAGGTCCTGTTTGATCTCTTATCAGATTGCTTTTTCCTTAACACTCATTTGCTTAAAAACTCAGAAGTCTAGCCTTATGACATTTTTAAAAATATATCTAAGTGTCTGGCTGTTCCAAGTTTAATTAATGTCTACAACTATAAAGAAGAATCATAAAAGTGGTTCAAGCTCAAAAAAGTAAAGAACCCTACTGTTCATGAGAAATTTGAACCTAATAATGTCAATGCTTTATAGGCTTTAACAAGAGCTAATGTTTGTCTACTGTAATTATTAACAAACTGTTTTAAGAGAAATAAGGAGTGGTGCTCACATTACTATGTAGGTTAGAGACTCCAATCAAGAAATATTTACTGAATGTCATCCACATTTCAAGGTGTTTCTTTTTTTCTTAATGTAATGGCATCACTGAGTTGTTTTTTTAAGGCTTATTTATTTATGCATACAGAACTGGGGTACTGGCCAGAGGTGCAAGGGTTGAGAGGATTCACCAGAGACAGAGTAGGGAGCAAAACAGGCAGATTGATGAAGTACACTGCTAAGGAGAGCAGCACGTGGGTCAGGAGAGGTCTGCCATGTCATGTGGGTCACCTCCCTGACTGGGGATGGAACTCATGCTGCAGTGGCTGCAATAGCTTCATAGTGCTGAGCTTTAATTTAACCCTTTGCGCCACCAATGAGGGCCCTCTTACAGAACTGGGATACAGGCAAAAGGTGCAAAGGTGGTGAGAGGATTCACCAGAGACAGAGTGGGGAGCAGAATAGGCAGATTGACAAAGTACACTGCTGAGGGGAGCAGCAGGTGGGTCAGGAGAGGTCTGCCGCGCCAAGTGGGTCACCTACCTGGCTGGTGATCGAGCTAACACAGCTGACGCTAGCTTCATAGTCTGCACTTAACATATTGCACCACCACAGAGGGTCCCAAATTTCAAGTTCTTTACTAGGTGTTATTAATAATTGTTTATGATCCTTAGTTTAATGAAACCAGTAACTGTGCTGCCAAGTTATATTATAAGGCAATTAAGCCTAGGAGTCCTAGAGGCATAGGCCATGATGGCCTTTCTGATCCCCTTCTGAAAATAGTAGAGTATTTGGATATGTGGGCTTTATGGCTATCAGCCTATTAATATCATAATAAAAAACATGCATAAACTGTGTCAATAACTAATTAATGACACCAGGAAGACTGGAACATACCCTTTCACAAAGCACATACATATGTATTATCAGTAACTATAAAAAAGCTAATAAGTGACAGAAAATATTTAAATGCAATATGGTCAAAGAATGCTGCATTTTGATCATTTCTACCACTTCCACTATATCCTATTTCTAAAAGTGTGACATGATCATAGATTTTAATCATGCTCTTCCTTGTCTACAGCACCAACATGCAAGTCTTTTCAATGAGTTCATATTTCAAAGAGCAATCATATAAACAAGGAGTGCAACAAATACTTTTAAAACTGATAAACTTTAGTCATTGGTTCCCTCCTCTAATTAGACTCCATGGAGCAGGTACTATTATTATTATTCCCATTTTACAGGTGAACACATTGAGGCACAGAGAGATTCAAATGCAGACAATCAAGAGCCTATGCTCTTAACCTCCTCACTAATCCGCCTTCTTTGGCCTTCCATGTAAGTGACAGGAGATAGTTACACACAGTCCACATTTCGGTACCCTCAGAAACTGTGACATACATGGGACTTTTCTACATAAGATATTAAGAACTAATACCAGGTACCAAAGAGGCAGAAAAGAAATATTTGGCAAATCTATTAAACAATTTCCTTCTTAACTTTCTTCAGTTTTGTACTCTGTCACTTACTTCCCAAGGAGAATGAAAACATTCTAAAACAGATCCTCAAATCTAAATGCTCATTAGAATAATCTCGAAGCTTTAAGACTGTATATGGACCCAAGGCAGACCTAAGAACCTAGAGGGTTCCAGGTATCAGTTCTCAAAAAAGCACCCAAGCAAACTGAAGCTGACAACCCAGAACCTGAATTTGTGGGACCTTTGTTGTAGAGGTGATTCTCTGGTCCCTCAGAGGCTGAGTAACGACTATCTGCATAGCAGAGACTAAAAATAAAATGCAAGGATATGGAGATGTAAACTGATTCCAAGGAGTAATAAGACCACTCAAGAAACTAGAGCAGCAACAGCGGAATTCTAGATCAGGATACCAAATACTTCTGGGTTGTTTGGGAATTTGTTGCCATGATAGAGTCTGCAGCCAAGTAATACCGCCCCATAGTTTAGGAGAGGGTCAATCAGACAGCAAGAACCAATATATCTGAACATTCTCAGAGGAGTCAACGAGTATTATGAGGGAATCTTAAGAGTATTAAGTGATACTGTCACAGTCCACAGGCAACAGAAAAACATTAACATTGCTTACAAGCACAACTAACAATTACTAAGAACCAAAAATGCTAAAATTAAGGGGGGTAAAGTCATTTCAACATACCTCTGTAAGTGCATGCAATTGTCCTTGATGGACACACACACCCATGAACCTACAAAACAAAACAGATTTTATTTTTATGTTTAAACAAATAAAAAGGACATGAACATAAATGCTGTACATATAGAAACTGTGTGTTAGAAACAATCCAATACCTGTGAAGTCCCCTGTGTTCCCATATAACCCTGCAGTCTCTCAAATTCTGATACAAGGCTGGTAAAATTTTAAGTTTACCATGAAACATCTCATTGTGACGAGACCTAGTGGTAAAAAACAGTGGTGGAAAGGGAGAGAGTAATAAGTCTTAAAAATAGCAGGTATAAAAAGCACAAAATTGGAAGTAAGGAAACTTGATGCTGATTTCAGCTCTATCACTACATGTTCAAAATAGTATGCATGGAAACATACCCCAGATTAGAAGAATAAAACTGTTAAAATAGCCATACTACCTAAAGCGATTTACAGATCTGATGCACTACCTATCAAAATCCCAATGACATTTTTCAAGGAAATAGAACTGATTCCAAAATTTGTATGAGGCCACAAAAGACCCTGGATAACCAAGGAAATTAAAAAAAAAGGAAAACAGAAGCTTTTGTGACAGTAATCAAACTGACAGTAATCAAAACAGTATGGGATTGGAACAAAAAGAGAACACAGACCAATGGAGTAGAATTGAGAGCCTGGAAACTCACACATATATGGACAATCAACAACAAAAAAAGCTATGACCATACAATAGAGAAAGGTCTCTTCAACAAATGGTATTGGGAGATTAAGACAACCACATGCAAAAAAAGTAAAACTAGATCATTACTTAATAACACACACACAAATTAATTCAAAATGTATTAATTCTTAACTATAAGACCCCAACCCATATAATACGCAGGAAAAAAACATAGGTAATACATTCCTAGACATCAACCTCAGGAATGTATTTGGGAATGCAACTCCAACAGCAAGGGAAGCCAAAACAATAATAAATAAATGAGGTTATATCAAACTAAAAGGTTTTGTATCACAACATAAACCTCCACAAAAATAAAATGGCAACCTACAGATTGGGAGAAGTTATTTGTACATCATATATCCAACAAGGTATTAATTTCAAAAATACATAAATAACACATAATTCAACAACAGAAAAAACAAACAAGCCAAACAAAATATGGGCAGAAAAGTCAGAGACACTTCTTCAAAGAAGACGTGTAGATGACCCACACTCATGAGAAAATAGATTCATCATCACTTATTATAAGAGAAATGCAATTAGAACCAAAGGAAATCTTACCTCACACCTATAAGAAAGGCCTCTCTCAAAAAGACTTGATACAAGTGTTGGAAAGGGTGTGGAGAGAAAGGAACACTCATTTGCTGAAATGTAAATAGGTGCAGTCTCTATGACAAATGGTATGGAAATTACTTTTAAAAACTAAAAATGAAAATGCAATATCATATCTATGTATTTACCTGAAGAATATGAAAACACTAACACACAAAGATTTATGCAACCCCTACATTCATAGCAGCATTACTTACAATAACCAAGACATGGAGTCAATGCTCACTAAAGAATGACTGGGTAAAGAAAATTGTGGCATATATACTTGATAGACTATTACTTGGCTAATTAAAAGAAGATGTACCCCAATTTGGTGATGGGAAACCCGCGGGGATTACAATCGAGATGGAAAAAAAAATGTGCAAAATGATGTAAAAATAAACTTTGTAATAAAAAAATAAAAAAAAAGAAGATGTACCTTTTGCGACAACATAGATGGAACATGAAGTGATTATGCTAAATGAAATAAAACAGAAAGTAGCATAATTATCAGTGGTTAAACAAAGAAGACAAACTAGCAAAACACAACAAAAATAATTCTGATAGTTACCAGAGAGGTGGAGAAAGGGAAGAGGGACTAGAAGGGATAATGTGATAGCACATTGGCATTATATTTGCTAGTGGGTAAGTGAAACGTGTATATTTTGAAGTATGAAGCTAAACTCCTAAAATTATAGATATATAAATAATGGCAAATCAATAATTCTTAATTTTAAAAATTCCTGTAAAGTTCATACCACAGTTACTGCTACACAGTAAGAGAATATACATATTCATGTGACTATCATTACATCTTAGAAGCAGGCTAGATAAGAATCAAATTAGGTCACAGATGATTGGATAGAATTTTGTTTCTATATGTCCACTCCCATCTCTATTCCCCAATCCTTGCCCCATCTCCACTCCCTGATTTGTAAAAATGGAACATTTGGCTTCATTCAGTTTTTTCATAATGAAACTCACTACCTCGTATAGAAAAAAGTGGGAGGAATTTGGGGCAGGTAAAAGTCTAATAAATAGGGCCCTTCCTGGTGGTGCAGCGGGTTAAAGCACAGCACTAAGAAGCTAAAGCCATTTCAGCATGAGTTCAATCCCCACCCCAGAGCTGACCCACATGGCGCAGCAGAACTTGCCTGACCCGCCTGCCACTCCCCTCAGCAATATACTTCGTCAGTCGGCCTGCTCTGCTCCCCACTCTGTCTCTGGTGAATCCTCTAACCGCCCCTGCACCTCTGGCCTGCACCCCAGCTCTGTATGCACAAATAAATAAATCTTTTTTTTTAAAAAGTCTAATAAATAATAGACATAAGTAACACAAAGAGCTGAAAACTGTAAGTAATATGCTAAATTTTTTCTGGCCAGCAAGACAGTGTCTATAAGCTATGTAGACAAAGCATCTGAGCATTCAGTTAACAACAGAAACTAGTTGTTTAAAGAGAGAAAGCTCACTGGTACAGACAGAGGAAATCTAAGCAAGATGAATGAGGAAACAATCATTGAGAATGTTGAGTTACATAAGTATCTTTAAAATAGGTCATTTTTCTCTAAGTGTTTGCACAGCTCTCCAGTCAGTGATATTACTAGAGTCAGCAGGTCGTCTATTTATTAAATAATTATTTATTGAAGTTACTGTATGCAAGGCATTAGGACAGGACAGTGAATAAAACAAAGTCCCTGTTCTCACTTTTACTCTAGGGGTTATTCTGTTGGAAGGCAATTGTCAGAAAAAGTCAAACTGGTATTTTATAGAATGTTGTTAAACTGTATGAATAAATTGTTATTTCTAGTTAGTCTCTTACAGAAAGGATTAAATAATATCTCTGAAATTAAACAATATTCCTTCCTAGAGATAATTCAACCCCATTATCCCACCACAGCAAGAAATAAATATAAGCTACATTTCTTCCTTTATTATGGCTTTCAAAACTATAACAGAAAGTAGCAGAGGTTGACTAATTATGATCCCCTACTTGTTTTTATATCTTTTCATTGAAACATAGTCATGGTATTTTCTATGACTGTTTTTTGCTGTAACAGCAAAGTTGAATAGTTGTGAGAGAGACTATATTACTTGAAAAAATTAAAACATTCACCACCTAGTCCTTTACAGAAAAAAAAAAAAAAAAGAGCTGATTCTGATTCTTGTACTAGAACGTGGGATCTATCCATTTTTACCAGGGGACTTAAAGTTACTTAATCTTTATTAAATCTCAAATTTCCTCATCTACAAAAGTGGACCTAAAAGCATAGCTATGAGGACTAAAAGGAATATCTCAAGCAGAACTTAGCAAAGTCTACCCCATACTCAAAGAAAAGTTTGTGTTTTTTATTTTATCATTATTAACAATCCAAAGTTATGCCATCCCTTACATGGCTTTCAAAGTTACCTTTTCAAAATACAAAAAGTCATTCCTATTCTCATAAACCTTCAATGGCTCCCATTTTGCCAAAAGAATGATGTTAAAATTCCTCACAGCATTTAAAATTTTCAAGATCTGCTCCAACTGATCTTTGGAACCTCACATTCCTATGAACCCTTTTCTTCACCCATCTGCCCCTCTCCTCTGGCTCTATTCACCCTAGCCTCAATATACTTAAATTTCCCCTTAAAAAATATTTCTCTTGGGCCTTCCTTGTGGCACAGGGTTAAAGCACAGCACTAAAAAGCTATCCACAGCCACAGCAGCACGGAATTCCAATCCCAAAGCAGGAAGGTGCCACATGGCACAGCAGACCATTCCTGTCTCGTCTGCTGCTCCCCTCAGCAGTTTATTTCGGTCAATCCACCTGTCTGTTCTCCACTCTGTGTCTGGTGAATCCTCTCATCTCCACAGTCCTGGTCTGTGCCCAGTTCTTGTATGCATAAATAAATACATCTTTTTAAAATAAATAAATAAATAATATTTTAACTATATGTTGTATATAAAATATAAACACTGTATAATTACACAAAATATTTCTTTCCTTATTTTATAGCCTTTTTCTATTTTTTAACTGTCCTGTTTCTTCTAACTTTTAAGCTTTTTTGTTAAAAACTAAGACACAAGCACATACATTAATCAAGCCCACAGTCGGGATCACCAATATACTGTCTTCTACCACCACATTTCTTCCACTGAAGGGGCAATAAAGGAAATAATTTATATGGAGCTATGGCATCCTATGGTAACAATACCTTCTTCTGGAATCTGTTCTGAAGGAACTGCCTGGCTCTTTTTTGGGAGGTATTGCTCTTTTCAAGAAATATCTGTAGTGGTTTGCTCTTTTTTTTCCATCACAGATTTGCTTGTAAACAGATACTGCACCACAAACACTCCTCTCTATTAAGGAAGGCCTTTCAGTATTTTGGTCAATCTTTTCAAACATTTTTTTTAAAGATTTATTGCAGAGTGGGGAGCAGAACAGGTAAATTGCCTGAAATACACTGCAGAGGGGAATAGCAGACGAAACAGGAGATTTAAAACACAAAAATATGATAAGGGTTAGATTACTAAGCAATAGGAACTTAGGGACCACAGTCCTACATACAGTCTGTCATTGACTAAAACATCCTTACATGGCACATGACTGTAATCCTCTCTCACCTCCCCTCTTTTTTCTCTTTTCTTCCTTCCCACTTCCCCACCCTATACATACACATACACACATACAGCACGCATAGCACATTTCACCCTCCTTTTGAAAACTGCTAATGAACATACGTGAAG